ATAATCCTTAACAAATATAAACGACTAGTATAAAAGGAAATGCAATAAAAAGAAATAATAATAATAATAATAATAATAATAATAATAATAATAATAATAATAAAAACAAATTGTTATATAAAAGAAATTTGCATAAACTCTTTATCAGGATTGCATCAGAGTTTGATTTGTTATTTTTTCTCGAGGAAAGTTTTCATACTCTTTCTATTCTTTTATACTATATAATACTATTATCTGTCTCTCTTTTTATTGTAAACGTTATAAGAACATAATGATCTTTGTGTGGACAATGACGTTTGTCGAGCCAAGCCCTCTTTTCGACAAACGTCGACTGCATTGTTGAAACATTGAGTAATGCGTTATTGCGAATAAGGAGTTGTTGTAAGATCGGAGTTCTCGGTTAATGAACGATCGATTGTTTGTTTTCGAATTTGTCGTTGGGTCACGTTTAAATTGTCATATTTACGAAAACAATTATGACTAAAAGAAAAAAAGAAAAAATATTCGCGAATAAAAATGTGTTTTCTATATCCACGTCAAAACGATAAATTTATAACATTTGTAAATAATATTACGTAAAATCAATTTTCAAATTAATTTAAAAAAAAATACACTAAGATATAAATACTTTTTCTCGAGATAAATTTACCTAATTGTGACTCTATTTTCTTCCTTTATCTTTTTGATTGATCTCAAAAAGGTCATGTGAAGTACTCCACTCCCTCTCCCCACCCTTTCTATCGTCACCCTTTGAAAGGATCTATTCGATACAATATTTATCGATCAAACGATTGATGAGGTAGTCCCACTTATGTTAAATAATAGGCGTGCCTAATCACGAGTAAACCTCTTTTCGTATTGGTCATATAATAAGATTCTTATTTGTTATTTTTTTTTGTAAATCATAATTCAATTGTACATATGTATAAACAACGAACAAATATATATATTTTATATGTGTTTCAAAATATGTGGGCATAACTTTAGAAGTACTTTCATTGTCAGTATGATAAAATAAAAAAGAAGTTCATATAATTATACATCTGATATGTAAATTATTACGCGAAAAATATTTAAATATAAATTTTTATCCAGTATTACTATCAATCAAAATTAATTTCATCAATTCCAAATGTCGAAATACATCAGCCATGTAAATACATGGTCCAATTTCACAGTGTGTGTGTGTATGTTTAATATTTTTAAATTTAATACTTTATTTTTCTTCCGTCACATACCATACTTCTTCTATCTGGCCTAAAAATATTAAATTTCACTAAGGATAATATTATTTCACCATTTATCTTCTTTTAATAGAAATTCTTTAGCGAGATTTAACTCTTTTAATTTACATTTGTTTCAATTACGAATGGTTTTCTTCAAACAATTCTACCATTGTAATAATTTCTTTTTTTTTTTTTTAATGTTCTTTGTATTTTGGAAGGAAGGGGAGGGTATAGGGGGGTAGGAGGAAATACATTTCTTTTCTTTCAGATTTAATAAAAGTGTAGAAATTAATTAAAGAACTTTTTAGCCAACACTCTATAAAATTATTTGATTAAAATATATTATTACGAAGACTAATGCACACAAAATATATGCTAATTTTTATCTAATTAACGTAAGAAATTGATCTTTTTTTTTTTATGTGAAAGCTTCGAAGAAAGATTGAATATGAAGGACCTTATGATGACCAGGAAGATCTTGAACTCGTTTTTGGAAGAAAAAAAGTACGAGAGATCGAGAATGCTCGAGGAACATCCTTGTCGTTGCCAAGAATTAATTTGGACGTCGACCAAAATGTACAATATATGTGTATACAAGTTTGTAAGACAGACAATAAGAACTGAAAAGATTGACTAAATGTGTATGTGTGTAGGAGGAGGAGGAGGAGGAGGGTGGGGAAGGAATGGATAGTACAACTATATGCCTTACCTTTCTCAATCACGAAACACTTCTTTGAAAGATCTCGATTTGTTCTCATTTTATCTTTCATTCTTATTTTGTTAATCTTTGTTCGGACAACATTAGAACTTTTTTACTAAAAGGATTCATCCTGTTAAAGTTTAATTGCACTTTAATTGCACGCTTTCAATGGACCAATCGATCGTGGTTTTGTTTACAATTTGTTTGTTTTTTTTTTTTTTTTCGGAAGAAAAGATAAATTGAAATGAATTTAATATCGAATATTTTAGATTTGTCTCTCTTAATAAGATTTATCTATAATATATGTATATATGTTAGAGCACGTGTGAATCTGTGCAACGTTACCATAAATGCAACCAACTGCGTTTCTAATAAGATTCTTGTAGTGGGTTGCTTTGTTCTCTTTTACGCGATGGATTTTTCCGAGACAGATTATTCCTCGTTAAAGTTTGATCTAAATATAAACTCTAACAAGGTTTTAAAACTTCTTTCATATAACAATGAATACATTAATATTTTTCTAACGTAAGAGAAATTAGCACGGTAAAAAAGTTAAGCACGTATTTTGTCTCTTTTTTAAAATATATTATTCTATTCAATTAATTTTCTATCTTATTAATTAATTACCTGAACCTTGCTCTGCACCTCGTGTCCGGTTCTCCACGTGGCGATACCAGTTGGACGAGGACCTCGTTTGTCCAATAATAATTCGCTAGGACATTTTTCGAAGATCAAGACACGTTCAGCAACCGAGCCTCTGGTGAGAAACGGCCTGACCGGATTGTTTCCAGTTCCGGTAGCTGCAGCAGCTCTTATATGTTGTTTCTGTTGCGTAGTCAATTCAGGATGTGGCACTTGTTCAAGCCGTGGCTTTGGTGAATTTATTCTAGGACCCCATCTCGAAGTTATAGGATCTCTGTCGTCCTTACTGTTTGAATCTTTATCCTTTCGTAATTCCGGTTCGAATTTCGACCTGGCATTTGATACTAATTGTTCCGTCGTGTTGTACGTAGCTACAGATTTCTGTTCTTCGAGTCTTTGTTGAGCCGGTGAATTTTGTTGAGCCGCTCTGTACCTTACTTTGGCATAATCGACCGCGGACATGTTTGAAAGTTCATTTTTACTCAGAGATTTCGTTGTTCCTTCCGTGTTGTCTCTTATACCGGTCGACGAAGTCGTCACATTATTAACTAATGTGGCTGAGGTTGGTACTAAAGTCACTCCTTCATGATTATGTCCGATAATAATTGGCTTAATCGGCTCAACTTTTGGCTTTTCCTTCTTGATCGCTGGCTTTTGCCGGGCGGCAAGTTGAAATATGGACGAGCTTGTTCTTTCGGATGGTTCTTCCGTGATCACCGAACCCGTTTTCAATGCATTTATCAATCTTTCCTCTTCTCGTGCTACCTCGTCGAGGAAAGCATCATCGCAAACAAAACGATTCGGACGACCACGAACCGTACTTTTATTAGGATCTTTCACAACAGATGTAATCTTAGTATCCTGAGGATTATTAGTCGGGATAATCTTAACCGATGTAGGACTGTTGTCGTTCGATCGTTTACCATCAGCCAATTTATTTTTCAACGGCCACGTGGTCAAGCCTGGGTTCGAGCTAGCACTGTCAGTGTTTAAACTGGAGTTCATCAAAGATGAAATGACCGTACTGGCCGGTCTCTTTTGTTGTACGATCTTAGGAGATGTCAAGTCAGCTGGAAAAGTAGTTTCAATAGTTTCAAGAAATACCTCTTGATGATGGGCGCTAGGTACTTTCGTCGAAACTTGAGGTTTCATTATTTGCGATGGTTTATTAGGGAAAGAAGAAGTTGGCGAATGAAGGGATGAATTACTCTGTTTAGTCTGATTCATAACGTTGCCTGATCCAATGATAGAACCATTGCCTTTAAGCGGTGACGTTTGTTGATTTTGTTGGGTCGAATTTCTTTCAAATTTTTGTAAGGCAAATTGAATTGAAGAAGGCAACGTCTTCGAAGGCGATCTTTGGTTAGAAGCGGCTATTCTCGCTTTATCCTCGACTACGAAATTGTTAACTAGCTTTTCTAGATTACCATTGTCCAAGTTCGGTGTCTGTACGAGAATATCTACCGCGGAGGTAGGGGTAGTAGTAGAATTTAACGATTCGATAGTTTTACCGCTAGCATTAGCAGGCGAACTGGTGGGTGTCAGAGCACTGCCGAATTTGTCGGCGGCTGTGGCATTACTGTGGCAGTTTAAAATTTCCGTAGGTTCCAAGCCACGACTTTTCCAAGTTTGATAAATCGCTTCGGCATGGTCGCTGATTTGTTTCGCTATTGCTGCGATGTCTTCGTCACCGGAGGAAGACGACGAAGTATCTGTAGGAAATTTTCTACGAAGATCATGTTTCGCCGTTGCGGCCATTCTGAAGAATTCCTCTTCGACCCGATGACCTAGGTGGTAATGTTCTTCCCTGACACGTGATTCCTGTTCTTTCTCTTGTAATTGATAATGTTGTTGTTCGCGAAGTTGGGGATGATGATTCAATAAGAAACTCGTTGTTCTTGTACTTAACTCAGATGAATGATCTAGGACAAGCTCGGCCAACTCAGGATTTTCCTTTATCGGTATTATGTTAACAGGAATTGCGTAACCAAAGTGCACGGCACGACAATCAACCTCGTCGAGGCCTATACGCGATTCATTGATCAAACAGGCGTTCAAGTCGGGACAATGAACGGCCCTACTTGCACGAGGATCGACCGTGGCAGATACGAAAAGATCACGTCGGGTTGCAAAAACCCGGTGTTCTATCGTCTCGATTGGTATCGACAATTGCCGGCTACCCGGCCGATGATGATGATGATGTCGTGCCGTAGCCGTTTCCGTTGCTATTGGAGAAGCCGTTGCCGATCCTGGCATATCTCAGGCCGACTGTCCTGAGAATCTCCTTCTCCAAGGCCACGAAGAACTACGCCGAGCCTTAATCCACGTGATCCTGTAACCTCCTATATGTAGTCGCCTCATTGCGTCGATGTTTTTGTTCCCTTTTTTGTTTTTTTGTTTTTTCTTTTGGATCACTTTTATAAATACTTAGCTAGAGCTAAGATGTTTCCTAAGATGTTGGACTTCAACGTTAAACTACCCCAAGACTATTGATTCTTTCTTTTAATTTTATATAAATCAATAGTTTAGATATGGTTTAATAATTTTTCTTATTTTGTTTCTTTTTTATTAATTACACAAACTGTTTACATTTCTTCATTCCTTCACATCTTCTTTGTATATAACACTTTGGTAAATTAAAATGATTCTTTTTCTTCTTCTTCTTCTTGAACTAGATAGAGCGGGGAAAATTTCTTCGCAGCCGATTTGATGATTTCTGAAAGAAAATGATGATTTTTATTAATCCAATGTGAGATTTGACATTTTATTTATTTATTTATTTAATTTTCATCGATTTTCGGATATTCGCGAGTCTCCAAAAAATAAAGATGAAAACGCACGTGTACATTTTTTTTTCCTTCTTTTCCATTACTACGGAAACACTAGGATGCGAGATATGAGAATTATCTAAATTGACTATCTGAATTATGAACGTTTACTTAAAGAAAAAAAGAAAAATACTAAACGAGATAATTTTGACGATGAATCATCATTTCTTTAGTTACATTTTAATACCTTATTTTTTCAAAAGTATTCTAAAAAAAAAAAAACAAAGTTAAATTACTGTTAATGTTTTTCTTTAACAATAAAACAAATCTTGCAAAAGTTCCCCCTTTGTCAAAATTTCAATTCAATTCATATATTTACCTATGCATGTATACATACTCAAACATGGAAATCATATGATTATATCAAAAAAGGTTCTATTCTGTGAATTAGTAGAAACCCTCCGACTCGCGATTAGGTGAAGCAAACGAACATCGTTTCCTCTTGCCCCTGTGCAGTCACGGAGACATTCTTTTGATCAAGTAACTATATTTACATATATCTCATGTCGCGTTACTCGGTCACGTTTGTGGTTTGCATCGTTAGAATACGAGACGTGGAACTTCTAAAAATAGTATCCAGCGAATATTGATATACTATAAATGGTATCGATCGAGCACCAATCGGTCAAACAAAACCTATTACCAGTTTTGGTTGAGTAATCGTTTATGGTAACGTTTATTATCCTTTTAGTTTTTGATAACGATTCTCGAATACAAGGTTTAGCATTCACGTAATAACTGTTTTCTTACAATAACTTAAAAAAATTTTAACTACTGTTCTTACGATCGAATTATAATTGGTGTTTAAGGGAAGTAAAGATTTTATACAAAATCGTAGAATAGTATGATATAAAAAGAAATAAATAACCTTTAAAGAATGAATTTCTTGGAAAATTGAACATGACGAATGAATGATAATACGAACACACAAGATGTAATATTCCATTACGTGTATTTACTGTAATCTATGGAATTTCTGTATCGTCAATTATACGAATAAGAACAAGAAGAATGAGTTCATAGGCAGTTAGTTGATTAACATGATGATTAAATTATACCTCGATAGTAGGAACTATCATCAGTTTTTATTACTCCTATTGAGGTTTGAAATTTTCATCATCGATCTTTTATGAGATGTGAAAAGAGAATGAGAACGGGAAAAAAAGGCAAAGGCAAAGCCAAAGGCAAAGGCAAAGAGAAAAAAAAGTTACGAGAAAATGCATAAATGCTTTGAGAATGTGAAGCACGAACAAGTTGTATAGCTTTGTGTACAAATAAGTAATCAAAGAGAAATGTAATGAACGTACTGCGAGTCAGAGAACTCGACAAGAAGACTCTTTTCTCTTCGTTGTGTGATATTTATACGTGTGTGTGTGGTGTTTGTATGTGTGTGTGTACATCGGCGCGCGCACTAACTTCATCGTTCACAGTTACACACACCCGCCGACTATGTAGTAGATTGGCATATAATGCGTGTACGTATGAGGTTACATATAACACACAGTGATGATAAGTACCTCGAGTAGAGTTTATTTCGGTTCGTCCTGTAATATTAGATGCGATGCAGAGATTCGACCGACAGGATTCTCGTGCACCCTACACAGCTGCAATGCACTTGTTTTCGTGCGATATATTTACATTCATTTAAACAAACAAAAAATACATATATGTTATATACCGTTACAATATACAATTCAATTAATTATTCATGAAAAATCTAGATTTAAATTGAAACAATTAAACGTTTGCGACAAGGCATATTAAAAATCATTTGATTGGACGGACATTCGTAATATTTGATTTAGGAAATATGAATTCACAAAAGGCTAGTTGGAAAAGTTTGAGATTGAATCTTCTAACACGATGATTTTAAATAACTCGTAAATTATTCATCGTACGCGAGAAATTGTTTGAAACAAAAGTTGCATAATATTAAGGTGGGTGGGAATGAGAGTGGTGGAAAACATACAGTACTGTTCTAATCTGTTTTTTATTACCTTACTTTACTTTTTTTTTATATATATATATAGGGATCACTTTCAGTTCTTCTAAAAGGGAAATGTCTAATATATTTTTTATGTAGATAAATATAATATATATTTGTTTGTTCTTTTCTTATTGAAAATATCTCGCTTAGTTTGTATCTTTTGAATAGATACAAACGTTATTCTCATAAATCCTCCTGGACATGATTATCGTGCTAGTTACGTCGCACCGTTTCGATATTCGAACGTTTATCGTCCACCACCGCCACCACCACCACCACCACCATCACCAACGCCAAAATTACCAAGTCACGCCACCCTGGTGTATTTCTGGACCCGAACCTTTCGTTGTACCAGTTACTCGCATAGCATCGAACTTAACTAGAACTACGTATTTGCAAATTGTTTATAATCTTCGATTTAATTCGATCGATTAAAAATAAATTAGTAAATCATTGATCAAAGAACTTTGTCTCTTTGTTCGTTTGTTCGTTTCTCCTCTCCCCTCCTATATATTTTTCTTTGTCATTTGTTCTACTTTTTTCAAAGTTCCTCGTGATTAATACTTGAGAAGAATTACTTTGTATCGAATGTATAAAGAAAGAATTTTCAGAAGAGTCATACCGTACACAAATCAAGATTCGATGTATAATTATAATTCACAAAGTAATCATGTCCACAAAAAAACATTTGAAATATCATTATCTATGGGAGATAAAAGTGTTTTTGTAAAAAAAAATTAAATCTAAACTTTTGAACTGTTTAATATGTGATCAAAAAACAAGAAGAAATTAGTATTACATTGTATATTCTACAATCTATTAAAACTACAAAGTTATAATTCTACTTTAGAGATTTATAAAATAAAGAAAATTTCATTAATAATTGATTACATTAATTGCTATTAAATTATTAAACATCAATTACAATTTTCCAATTACATTTACATAATTATACAAATAATTGAAGGTTGGTAACTTCATGTATAATTATTTTCCAATTCATCATTATTTTATACCAAGCATTATACGTTATAATTTCATTTATGCAAGTATAAAAATAAATAAAAAAAAAGCAAATATAAATGAAAATAAAATAAAATGAAAAAATAGAAATGCATCGAGCTTTACACCGCTAGAAAGTAGCAAATTAGTCATATGATTAATTTGCAGTTAACACGCAACCACAAATTAATAGGATAGTATTAAGGATATTCTTGATTCTTTCTTTTTCTCTCTCTCTCTCTCTTTTATATCGAAGATTGAATGTTGATAAATAAAAAGATTGAGTTCATCTAACATATACATACTGCTACTTATCTAAATAATATCATTATTAATTAAAATCTCGTTAAAACGGTAGACCGTCAAACACGCTCTAATACATTTTTCTGTACGATTTGGAGCGCGTTAAAAAAAATTATTTAAAAAAAAAAAAAAGCAAAGAGGAACGTATGTATTTAAATATATACGTATACAATATACTCACTTTCTTTCATGATAAACTTTACAACGTTATCTTTTTTTGAAAAATTTCTCTCCTCGAATTTATAACATTAGTTTAATTTTTCGATAGGTTGTAAACGATTAATAAAAAATACAATTAGTTTTGAATTCTAATGTGAAATCTCTCTCTCTCTCTTTCTTTCTTTCTTTCTTTCTCTTTTATGGTTCTCTTTATTTAACTTTTTACAAGTTCTTTACGTCGAAAAATCGAATTAATATTCGCAGAAAATCTTTTAAATAAAAAGGGTGAAAAAAAGAACGATATCTTTGATAATCCTATATTAAAAACAATAATCTTTTAAATATAAAAAAATGTAGAATAAAAAAAATAGAGAAAGAGGAAAGAGAAAGGAAGTAAGTAAAATAGATAGAAAATAACGAATACATATGTAAACGGAAAAAGAAACAAACAAAAAAAAAACGAAGAGAAAAGTAAAAAAGCTATTATTATATTTGTTGACGTTACACGCGTATAAAGGATTTTAACGAATTTAAAAAACACGAAACACACTTCACGATAGCACAAAGTCGACTAAAGCATCCGACATGATCGTAAAAGAGTACTTTGAAAGAACCCCACCTTCCTCTTTTACTTTCGACTTTTTCCCTCTCTTTCTCTTTCTCTCTTTCTAGCACGCGTGCAACAAACGCATGAGAAATAAAAGTAATAATATTCGATGATCATGATGATGATTATGAATATGATGATAATGATGAGTAATAAGAACTCTCGAAAATCATAATCTATTTACTATACTATGGTTGGTGTTTTATTTTTTTTTTATTGAATTCTACCAATCTTATGATTCTCTTTAACAATAAGTAAAATGATCAATAAATTTTGAATCGTTTTGAATATCATTCGAATTGGAAATATTAAAATTTTGTAGAATATATATATTAATTGTTAGAGTATTGAACATTAATTTTGCTTATTTTTTTCTTTAATTGTATTTTTCATCTATATCTTCATTAGATAAATGAAAAAATAATTATATATATATAATTCGATGAACCAAATAGATCTTCTATTTTTTTTGTTTTGTTTTTTTTAATAACCAAGTAAAAATACGTTTATTAGATTCTTGCGTGTACAGAGAAAGTATGAACCGATTAGAATTTATATTTTATTTGAAATAAAAAAAAAGAAAAACTCTATGAGAAGATCTAACGAAAGTTCAAAAGTGAATGTACAATTATCTAATAATTTTCATCGTTCATTCAGATAACGTACTGTTTCAGGAATATAAAGTCATTGAAAAAAACAAAAAAAAACAAGAATGTAAAATAAAAAGAGTTGAGGTCGAAAGACGAATAAATATCGCGTGTTTCCTGTCCCTTTGCATATCGTGACAACCCTTTTGTCATTCCGCATGGAAGAGCAATAAAAAGAAATAA